CCCTCATCTGCTCCCCCTCCTCGTTATCCGTGGGGGGAGCTCAGGACACTGCCCCAGCTCCCGGGAGAGAGGTGCCCCCTGGTGTCGTAAGAGTCGCTGCCCGCGCTCAGGGCAGGGGGTGGGTTGTCTCCCCTCCCCTTCTTTTGCAAGGAAGTGATTGATTTGGGGGCAGCCCCTCTCCATGGACCTGCAAGTGAAATCATGATGGTACTGCGGGGTCAGGGCCTCGGAGGGGTAACTTAGAAAACAACAAATGGTCCTGGTAGCGCCTTAGGGTGCGTCTGCCCAGCAGGGTTTAACTGGGAAGCTAGCAAATTGAGCTATGTCAGTTGCCTAGTGTACTTCAAAATAGCTTAATTCAAAATTAGGAGCCTCTACGCAGCACTTATTTTGAAATAGAGCACTCCTCCTCGAACTTCCCCTACTCTTGTACAATGAGTTGAAATGAGAAGTCCTCCAGCTTGACCGTATTTGAGCATTATTTTGACATAACTGCCTGATGTGCAGGCCTGGACGAAGTTATTTCGAAATAACGTTGAAATGTAGATGTTCCCTTAGGCTACGTCTAGACTACAAGCCTGTTTCGAAAGAGGCCTTGTCTAGGCTACAAGGAGATTTTTTGAAAAAGCGAGCTGCGTTTTAGAAAGTCTGACGCTCTCTTTTGAAAAAGCACAGTTTGCATTCAATAGCGCCTTTTTTCGACAGAGTACTTTAGAAAAAAGGTGTTATTCCTTGTAGAATGAAGTTTACCGCAATGGAAAAAACTGCTGCATTCTTTTGATTTACTTTTGAAAGAACACAGCTGCATTCTAGACACAGGTGAAGTTTTTTTGAAGAAAAGCTTCTTTTTTCGAAAAAACCCTGTTGTCTAGACACACCCTTAGAGACTAACCCAAAAAATATAATTATATCGTGAGCTTTTTGTGGGCAAAACCCACTTCTTTAGGTTAATGAAGCAGGGGTACAAATATATGGAATAAAAAGAGGATTGGGGGACAGGAAAAACTGTCAAAGTGTCCACGCAAAATGAGGCTTATGGAGTGGGCTGTAAGTTCCTTATACAGGCAGTCCCTGGGTTACGTACAATATAGGGACTATAGGTTTGTTCTTAAGTTGAATTTGTATGTAAGTCGGAACTGGCTCCAGATTCAGCCGCTGCTGAAACTGATCAGTGGCTGACTACAGGACCAGGGAGACCCGAGAAAAGCCGTGGAGGTGCAGAGGTCCCGCCGCCTCTGCGGCTTTGCTCCTGTCTCCCTGCTGTGCTGGGGGGTAGTCCTCCCCAGCACAGCAGAGAGACCCGAGCAAAGCCGCACAGGCGGCAGAACCCCGCTGCCCGTGCGGCTTTGCTCCTTTGCCCCGGAGCAAAGCCGCACAGGCAACGGGGTCCCCCGCCTCTGCGGCTTTGCTCCGGGGCAAAGGAGCAAAGCCACACGGGCAGCGGGGTCCCGCTGCCTGTGCTGCTTTGCTCGGGTCTCCCTGCTGTGCTGGGGAGTCCCCCCCAGCAGAAAAGCCCCGTTCGTAAGTGCGGATCCGACATAAGTCGGATCCGCGGAAGTCGGGGACTGCCTGTACTTAACTTTTGATGTCATTTGAGTTGTTGAATATAATGGCCCATCCAAGACATGTTGGATTTGTTCAATCTTTGGGTGAATGTGTCAGATTTGCATATGAAGGCCAGTTCAGCAGACTGACACTCTAGCTGTTTCCTGAATTACTTTGTAAGAGGATATACACTTTTAAATACATTAATGAGTCCCCGAGTGAGTTAAAATGTTCCCCAACAAGTTTCTTGTGGGTTACCATTTTGAATATCTGATTTATGTCCATTAATCCATTGTCTAGAGACTGTCCAATATACATGGCACAGGGGCATTGCTAGCACTTGATGGCATATATCACGTGATGGGAATGAAGAGGTGTTATCGTGTCCATGAGTATTTTGTTATTGCCTAAACACAATGTGTGATTTTCAAGATAAAGAAGGGTCATATGGAATAGGAGTGGGATTGGCTTCTTAACAAGGGGAAATAGTGAAATAACACAATAACATTATATATAAAATGTAATAAAAGGTCCTGGTCCTGTATTACTTGTGCAGCCTGGTGTTGTGTATGCACAAAGAGTGCAAGACTTGACTCCTTCATGTGTGAAGATGTTAACATAACTTTTTCTTCAGAGAAATTCGCAAGTCTTTGGTGTATTGATTTCCTTTAAAATATCATTTTGACACAGGTTATATTTGTTTTCAACAGATTTTAATATTATTGTAACATTTTTATTTGTATTCATACTGCTTCTATTAAATTTTAATGAAGGGCAAAGAAGTGGTAAGTATTGGTTTATATATGACAAAATTATTTCTCTAGTTTTTTATATATATTTGGTTTTTGCAATCTTTCTATTTGTCCTGTTTCCTCCTTGTAGTCCTTTTTTCTTGTTAAAAACTAGATAAACCCGATACATTGTTTCTAAGAACTAGTTGCGAATAGGAATTTTAAAAATATATTTAATTCTCCTTTTGAATAAATGGGAGCTTGAGCATATATTAAATATTATTGAAATGTTATATTTATTTATATTTTATATTTTTTAAGGAAAATTTTTTTATGAAATGCAAGAATACAGATTTTAGTAGGGCTGTCAATCACTATTAACTCAAGTGATTAATTCAAAACAAACGCTAAAACTGGCAATTAATGGTAGTTATAGTCTAACTGTTAATAATAAAATGCCAATTGAAATTTATTATCAATATTGTGGTTGTTTTTCTGCATTTTCAAATTTATTGATTTCAATTATAGCATAGATTATAAAGCATACAGTGCACACTTGATATTTGGTTGCAAATATTTGAATTGTAAAGCTAAGAAATAGTTTATTTTTCAATTTACTTCAGAAAAGTACTGTCATGCCATCTATATTGTGACAGAGCAACTTACAAATGTATGTTTTTTGTTACAGAACTGCACTCAAAAACAAAACAGAGTCCATTCAGTCCTATTTCTTCTTCAGCCAGTAACAGAGACAAACAAGTTTGTTTACTCTTACTGGAGCTAATGCTGCTCTCTTCTTATTTACAGTGTCACTGGAAAGTGAAACCAGGTGTTTGCATAGAACTGTTGCAGCTGATCTTGCATGGTATTTACGTACCAGATATGCTCAACATTTGTATGTCATTTCATGCTTTAGCAATTACTCCAGAAGACACAATTCTGGAATTATGCCGATGACTTTCATTTAAAAAAAACCACATTAATTTGTGACTGACTGTCTTAGGAGAGAATTGTACATCTCTTGTTATGTGGTTTTACTTTCAGTGTCTGATGATGACCCAGCACGTTTTTTCACTAGATTTGATAAAAATACAAGGTATCAATCTGAGATTTCTAAAGATAGCTACTGCCTCTCCCTGAGTTACGAACGAGTTATGGACCAAACACTTGGCTGTAACTTGATCTGTTCGTAACTCGGACCCCATTGAGTTACATAGTGACTGTGCTGTTCGTAAGTGTGGGTTATGTTCGTAACTCGGGGATTATTATCAAGCCCGACCTGTCATCAGCATGGAAGGATGTCCTCTGGAATGGTGGCATGGATTCATACTGATATTTATCATATCTGGCACATAAATATCTTGCAACACCAGCAATAACTTTCTTTCTTTCTTTCTTTCTTTCTTTCTTTCTTTCTTTCTTTCTTTCTTTCTTTCTTTCTTTCTTTCTTTCTTTCTTTCTTTCTTTCTTTCTTTCTTTCTTTCTTTCTTTCTTTCTTTCTTTCTTTCTTTCTTTCTTTCTTTCTTTCTTTCCTTGTAAATAAGAACTAGGCAGCATTAACTCCTATAAATGTAAACAAACTTGCTTTTCTAGCGATTGGCTGAATATAATGTAGGAATGAGTGTACTTAGGCTCTAAAATTGTACATCTTATTTTTAAGTGCAGTTACATAAAAAAATTCTACATTTATAAGTTGTACTTTCATGATGAAGAGTCAACCCAGACAAGTATTGTAGTGCAATTACAAAAATACTGGGGGGTTTTACAGTGTAAATATTTGTTCTAAAAAAAAATAAAGTATTAAGCCTTTGTGTATTCTGTGTTGTAATTGAAATCACAGTACTGAAAATGTAGAAAAATACAAAAAAATGTTTAAAATTAAATGATTTATCTAACATTTCTCAAGTTCTAAACTCAGATAAGTTTTGTTTTTCTTAATTTAAATAATTGTTCTGCGGTGGGGCATGGGTTGAAAGATTCAGTATGCAGGCTGCTCTATGGAGAGAGTACAACCCCAGCCCTTTCTCACCATAGCAACTTGGGACCAGGTGAGACACACCTGTCCATGGCATAGCTGGAGGAGAGGTGAATGTCCCCCAGCTGGCAGGCAAACCAGAAAAACTCTCTATAGTAGATAGCTGTCCCTTTCTCCATGCTTGCTCCTGCTGGCCCAGTGAGATTATAGCTGTCCCAGTCCCCATCTTGGGTACTTGCTGCCCCCTGTGATCATTTTCAAGTATAACTGTTACTCCTAACAGACCCCTCCCTTGCTATTTTATGAGAAACAATAAAATTTAAGGCACATCCCATTGTCCTAGCACAACTAAACCCTTACATTCTTTTAAGTTATGATAAGAGGAAGCAATATACCAAATTTGGTGCTCCTATCTCTTAATGCGTAGGAGTTCTTGAACAAACACATTTATGGACAGATGGACTCTCAAA